GCGTTGGCAAATAAGTCTGTTGACTTACCGGTAGGTCATTTAAACAAGTAGAGAAACACTTAAAAGTACATTTTCTTTAATTTAACAACCCAGACGACATGTAGGATTCATAGAAACAAGTCCCAGACAGTGTCAACAAGGACTGTGCCATTAATCTAATTTCAACCATTTTTACACATTACACTCAGCAAGTATTTTCTTCTCCAAATGGGAATAATAATTTACCAAACAGGCCACATGTTACCAACAAGAAAACATTATATATAATAAGTAATAAAAGGTTATGAAAAGAAATGAGAAGTGAGAACATTTTCCCACTGAGTTTCATTAAACCTAGTTCCTCAGAGTAACCACATGGTGGTTTGCTTGTACTTCCAGTCTTCCAGATGTAATGCTTAACAAATGTCACAAAAAAACCAAAAACCACTCAGATATGATTATGACTAGTTCAACTAATTCCTTCTAGGAGTGTGTGTCTGTTTAGATATTGTCAAACAGCATTGCTTAGGTCATTTGAGGTTTCTAGCACCACCATTTGACTAAAAACTGCATACTTCAGATAAAAATGTTGATATGTGGTGATAGTTGGTGTGTAAACAGGACAGATTACATGTAATGACCTGCATGCAATGTGTATATTTCACAATTATTACAGTTGTTTTTTGTACAGTATTGCTGCAAATCTTGCTGCTACAGCTCTGAAATAACTGATTATTGTTTTGCAACATTCATTTTATTTGTTGTATAATTGTAAAATAGTAGATGAATATATTCTTTATTCTTTTTCTAAATGTGATCAAAACTTTTGTACACGTTTTACTTTTTTTAACCACTTCACTTCCCAAATGCACCTTATTTCTTCTGAAAAACCTTGACCTTAATTAACTTTCACAACAAAGAGGAACCTTCTGATGTCAGAGGTTAAGTACTTACTTGTGCCTGCACTGCCAGATGGAAAGCACCTTTTTTGAAGGGCAGCAGGCCGCCCTTCTGATTTCGAGTTCCTTCTGGGAACACCCACAGACGGATCTGTTTATATCAAAGATTAGGTCACAGGAAGAACAAGGATAATCTCTGTAGATCAAAAATGATTTCTTTTTTTATGGGGAAAAGGACACATTACCTGCTCATCCAACATTGTTTTGGCAGCGTCGGTCATGACACTCTTGGCATCGCTGGTCTTCTTGCGGTTGATAAAGACGATCCCGCCGAGCCAGCAGATGAGACCAACAGTACCAGCATAGACCAGCTCCTTCTTTGCAATCATGGTGCAACGGTCTGGTAAGATCTCCATCAGGCCTGAAGAAAAAAGTGCGAGTGTGAGTGACTGAGCAGAATTATTTTTTAATGAAGATAAAGCTTTATATATTTATCTACATATCGTCCAATAAGGTTGTCTGCTCAGTGTATAATCACAGATTGTAAACACACATTTTAAAACTGATTAGAGGCTGATTAATGACGGTGCATGCATGCTATCAAACATTTGCATTTCAATGAGGCGTCAACTTGACGGAAGACAGGTGTTTTATGTAGGTTCAGTGTGTGTTAAATGTTCTGTGTTATCCTCCTGGTGGCCAGTGAAGCAAAGCAAAAATATATACATATACAAGTGTAGTTTGGTGTTGCTAAGACCTATTTTACAGAAATGCTGATTCAACTGTTTGCTTATCTGGGAGGCTGCGGTTTCTACTGCTGTTATTGAATTATGTTGTATCTAAACTGAAGTGTTAAGTGTTTTTGCTCATGTTCAATCCCACTCCTGTATAGTAATAAAGGTAAACTACCTGCTGTATTCTTGGCTGTAGTGGAATAACTAATTCTCCAAAAAAAAATAAAATAAAGAGTGGAATAACTAATTCTCCAAAAAAATGTAATAAAAATAAAAATAAAGAAAATAATGATGGAGGACTTGCACCAAGCTGCACTGGTTCAGTCATACAGCTGCGGTGGAGAAACAAACTGCTCAGAACCCAGAGAGGATGGAGAGTGTTTGCTCCCAACTGCTGTAGCAGATAATGGCAGTTAATAATGACTGGGTGTAGCTGTTGATATGGCAACTCGTACAGCACATCAGATTCAGGCACTTTTCACAGCACTAATTAGACGTCTCTCTTTCTCGCTCTCTCTCCTCTTCTCTCTCCCCCCCGCTGTCACCACTCTGGCTTCATGCCTGGCATCATCACTCACTGGCTCTGAAATCACTCTCTCTCCCAGAAAGACACTAATGGAGAGAAAACCAAGCTCTGCTAATTCTGTCTCCTACAGAGTCAGATTCAGCACAGAGAGGAACGAAGAAAAAGCTGGGGAAAATATTGTACAACACCAAAATGTAAATATTTTTAGAAGACCTTGGTCAAATGATTTTCAGTGAATGTATTTATTTTTCATTAGGTGAATCCCATTACCAGTAAGAAAACTAATTTAACTTAATTTAAATTCAAACCAAATGAGACATTAACCATTTATTACTTCTAGAAGTCAGTCATATTTGTTATAGATTTAGTTTATACTGTTAGTTTAAAAGTTTCTTTATGAATTTAAATACTTTGGTCTGATGCTAACTAAATCAAATGATACTGAAAATAAAATTAAAAAGTCCTTCCTAATGACCTGTCTGAAATCTATGATGGTGATTACATCTGCAGGGATGTAACCCTTTTACCTGTATTTTCCCTTTTATGTGACACGTTTTCAGTATGTTTTTGACCAATGGGAAGGAGACAGTAAGAGGCAGTAATGAAACTCAAAGAATGCAGCCTGCTGTTTAACTTTGTGTGGGAGAGTAAGATACAGGGCAGGGTCCGCTCGCAAAAACATATGTGACTCAGTATTGTAGCGCATAATTTCTGAAATAGTTTTGGTGTCAGGAAACAAAACTTTAATCATATCTGATGTGGGAATGTTGTTGTCAATGTATCTGTATCTAAGTCTATAGCTCCTCAGTGGGGGAGGCATGGGAGGTACATACTTTGCATTTACCAATACTAAAAAATAAATTCTACTATCTGTGTTCTTGATGAAATAAACTGTGGGAGGGGGTAGTTTCCTGTGTCAGACAGTGAGGTCAAGTAGGTCAGCTGATAAACTAAGCCTGTCACACTGGCTGCACCGCTGTAGTTATTTATCAAAGGCAGTGATACTGTGTACATCCTGGTCACAAAAGGCAGCATGTCAACACAGCACAAAGGTTATGTTTTTGACTCGAACACCTCACAGAAGCACATACTTCCTGTAAAACTAACACATCTAACTGAGAAACGCCTCTGGAAGGACTTGTCCTTTTCAGACTTCTATCAGGACCCACGGCAATTTGCAACATGTAGAGGCAAAACACCAATTGTATTTGTGTATTGTGTTACATATTTTGCAATATTATGATAGGAAAACAATCTATAATGCAATCTATTTACTCCTGTCTTTGCACCAGAGAACAGTCATCACTGCAACTAAAATTCAGAAAACTACACTAGTCCAAAGTCTGTCAAATAAAATGTTTGATTATTGAACTATTACTTTCTATAATTATTGTTACTGAAGACAGACTGCCAACATCAAACACTTATAGAGTTTCACTTTCAAAAACACAGCTGAACTAGAGAATGGATTGTGCTTTCAAGAGAGTTGACAGTTGAACATCAAACAAAACTTTATCATCTGCTTTTAGTCTGATGATAACTGTATGAAGGCCTGATATACGGTATGAAATGTTTTTAATTAAGCTAAAATGATTGATGCTTATTTAACTTCCTCAGTACCTGGTGAAAACATAAATTAATTTAGACAAATATCTATGTTACCACTGTGTACAGGTACTTTAGCATTAATTTCTTTAAGTCAAAGAAAAGCTACAGCACCCACCCAGAACATCCAAGGAGCTCTGATGGTTGGAGATGATGACATAAGGACCCTCTGTCTGCAGACGCTCCCAACCACTCACTTCAAACCGAAGACCCAGGAAATATTTCACATGACGAACCAAAGAGCGGATAATCCTGGAAGAGAACGGATAATTACACTCTTTATTTCAAGGACATTCACATGGTTTATACAAGGTGACAGTGATCTGAGGGATAATATATTAGCCAAAAGATTGAAGTGTTTATGGCAAACATTTACTTAGGGTACCTATGGTATAATTAAGGGCTGCAAGATTCAAATAGTGGACCATGAAGCACAGAGTGGCTCAGTTTATGGTCATTAAAGACACCCAGAGAGAAACTGCAAAACTTTCAATTTAAATAATTCAAATGTTTTACAGTTGAACAGATCATGGCTGCAACCCTTTCTACACCCATGCAATTCACACTGCATCCCTTGTTTTTCAAGTTTCTTGTATCACTACAGTAATCCTTTTTTTTTTTAACTCAAACTAACTGTCAGTGCACTTGAGAGCCACATCAATGTTCAATAAAAAAAGATATTCTAAAAAAAGTAATTTTAGATTAATATAAGTATTACATAATACATTAAAACAGTACAAACAGCTAGAAATATTTAAATGACCAATGCATTTAATGAATAATGTGGGTGGTTTGTGGGCTGGGAGTTTGAGACCTCTTGAGGCCTTAAGGGAAATCACTTGCTGCATTTAATCCATCTGTGCCCCCTCCTGACCCCCCCACAGTGATTAACGCAGGACACACAGCAACAAAGCACAGGTCAGAGGAGGTTTTGGTGTGAGCTCAACACACCACCGTCCTGCTGATTACTATCCAGGGACTGACTGAATATACTTCCAATGTTGTAAAATAATGTAAAAGTACTGACTGAATATACTTCCAATGTTGTAAATATATGTATAATGTAAAAGTACATGTTAAGCATCAGTAAAAGTTTCCCATTATATAAATGGAACTCTGAATAAAGTCACCTTCAAGTTTCTTATCAATTTTACACAACGTCTACTTCCATGAAACACTGACCTTAAGCCTTGAATTAGGAAAGAGAGTCAAGAGAGACAAGTCATAAACCTCATTATGTGCTACACGCTCTATTGGATGAGCTACAAAGAAGCTTAAATATTTCTAATGTGATCATTATCTGTGTATTAACTACACAACCTTTGACTATCAAATGACAAATGCCTCCCAATTGGATCTGATGAAGAAAATGTTCAAAGACAAAAATGCTGCCACATGTAAGCTTTTAAGACAGGGGGCGCCAGTCGTATGTTATTGGCCTTGAGCTGGGGCTTTGATTCAGCCATGCTAACTGGCTCCGACTAATTAATTTAAGCGAGTAAAGTTTGCCTTCACCCAAGGGCAAAATAATTTAACCTTTAAACCAGAGTACTCTCCAGATTATCTCACACTGTATTGGGAGTGATAACACACTCAGTCCTGTACAAAAGCCATTGGTTATGCAATGACTCAGTGTTGCTGCAGCTGTAAGACTGTTCAAGGGGAATTAAATGGCCTCAGTTGGATTCATTTTATGGCCAATCCACTAAGCCTTTTCTTTGAGTCTATTCCCTTATCAGTCTCTAAATAGGTTCCTGTTAAACACAGGCAACATCATGACAGTTAGAGGCTCATGTGACTGGTGTGTGCAGAGGTCCCATACAATCTGGCTAGCTTTTATGTGCTGATAAATAAAGATACCAGTTTTCTTCTACTTACCTACTAAAGTAGCTATAGGTAGAATATTGAAATCAGTGCGTTTGGACAGCAGTGGCAAAAACCTGAGCAGATTTATTCACATGTAAATACACTTGAATAAGTACTAAGCTGATTTTCTGAGACAGAGACTACCTAACAATGTTAAGAGCCAACTGACTGAAAAAGGCTAACAATTTTAAGGGTTAAACAAGGTACATAGTTGAGGGAAGTAAAATGATTAGATTTTTATAATTATTTTAAAACAAGGACAGTGGCCAGATTAAAACTCAAGCACAATTTTAAGTTAGTTATATTTGTATAGCGTATTGATTTTTTAAACCACATAAACAACTCAATCAATTAAATAAGTGATAATTGACAAAGCATCTATCTACTGTTATTTGTCCTTCTGTTCTTGCAATATACAGAAAACGGTATATAGAGGAATGCTGATTTATGTTATTTAATCATAATACAATTGCTAAGAATCATGATTAATTAATCATAACTAATGAATCGTAATTAATTGTGCTTGATCCACAATAACCAGATACTTTTTTTTTTTTAAATCATACAACTGTCCTGGTTTAATCTTTGGCCCAGAGGCAATGTCTCTGTCATTGGTGTGGAACCCCAGGGTTCACCTCCTGGGCAAGTTCGAATCCCGGTTAGGGCGGTTGGTACCTTCCAGTGGACTCACCACCCGCAGGAAGGTTTGGTACGGTGCAATGTGATTTGGGTGGCGACTGCTGCCCCCGCGACCCGGTAACGGATAAGCGGATGAAAATGGATGGATGGATGGACAACTGTCCTGGTTTAATTAAGAGATTTTCCAATGAAAAGTTAAAATGTACTTTTTGGTCAAATCATCAAAATTGTTTCCTAAAGTTGGAACCTACAATTAGGAGTTAGACGAGAAAGAATTCATTCCTTCTGTTATCCTAAGATCATACTCAAGACATGTTTGATTTCTTCGATAAACACACACGTGAAAGCTTGTAACTTGGTCACATTCCAGTTGAAGCAAACAACTCTGAGCCAAGTAGTCAAGCCCAGACCCTTTTCTATTGGTTTGACAGTAAAGGCCTTTGACAGAGTGCTCTCTGAAACACACAAGTGTTTTTGTCATCCAAGTTGGCTGGTGTGAAAACAACAAAAACTCTGGTCAGGGTTTGTACAAGGTCTGACCCCAGTAGTTGATTTTACTTGTTACTATGTCACAGTCAACTGGTCATGATAACCTTTGCACACTGGTGCAACACAACACCATGATCCGTGGCTAACGTGACTGTTAACTAGTTGTTCCAAGAGCGGTGAAGCAGTAAATGCCTGCTTGTTCTGGTGCTGCCGTTTTAAGGGAGTGCTGTCAGCAGATCCAGCCCAAAATGAAGTTAAATAGAGAATGGGCCTCATTGTAACTATGTAACTGCCTCCTCAAGGGTAATACTGAGCTGCAGTCCTCAGTGTTCAGGTAACCAGCCTCTCAAACTAGGCTTAAGCATAACAAATAACTCAACCCCCAGGAAACAAAGTTGATTCTTACCCTAAAGGCATACATAAGTGTTTCCCAGCAACCTACAGGTACAGTATCAAGTGACTAGGTCAAAGTTTGTCTACTATAAAATGACACCTGTGTGCTGTGTTACGTAATACCATTATAATAAGTTGAGTCTAACATGTTCTGTTAAGCACCAGAACTCACTCATGTATTTTTATTTTTAATGGGTGAACTCCCCTAAAAAGGCAGTTGATAGCGTTTTATTATCCCTTTTTGTGAACTACGTTACCGTATTTCCGGACAATAAATGTCTATTTTTTTCCAACGCTTTGAACCCCGCGGCTTAAACAATTATGCGGCTAACTTATTGATTTTAATTTGGGCTAACAAAGTTCATAGTTCAGCGTATGTCTGTCTGTGAATGGTTGTGTGAATGGGGAGCGTGCGAGAGAACGGTAGCAAAAGTTGAGATTAGTTTGAGCCCCGTCATGTCGAAGCTTGAGTTGGTTATAAAGCATCTGTTAAAACGCTGTTTATGTACATACTGTTGTGCTGTTTACCTCTGCTGCGGACAAGCACAAAGTGAAGGGAGTAAGCCCCGGAGATAGTGTTTGAGGTATTGACATTAGTAGAATATTGATGAAGAACTGTCTATTCTTTTAATATATTAAAAGACAAAATACGCAACCTACAAAGAAAATATGCAGCAGTTTAGAGAAAGGCCCAAGTTCTTCCTGCTTAGATGCACACCTTAATTTTCTCATAATCATTCAAAAAAAAGGCAGGACAAGTTGTGCATACAAGGTACTTCTCAAAAACAACAAAACAAAAACAAAACAATGGGGCTATAAACACAGTATAGTAAGCAAGCATGTGTACTTTGTTTTAACGGGTCACAGTTTAGTGCTCTTATTACCTGTGTTATCACAGTTGTCAAACTAGTTAATCTAAAGCAAAATGCGCAAGTATAAATATTAAAAAACAGTTAGAGTACATGTGGTTTGGAGTGGTGATCAATGACCTGATCCCAGTTGGTGTTTTTCTTTCGTGTTTTGGAAAAGGACGCAGAGGACATTTGACAGGAGGGAAAGTCTTTACAAAATCTCAGTAAAGTAAACTGTATGTAAGGACGTATAGAACACACAAAACGATTTGGCTTTTATGAATACTGCCGTGTAAGTGTTACATTTATTACGTCTTAAATTCCGCTTGAACGTCGCTTCTGTCAGTCATGGAAGTAACGTTAGCATGGGTTCGATACATAAAGTGTACCATTAGTTTCATATTTTTTCAAAATATGTCAGATATTATTGCAATTATTACCCTGGTATAAATATTAATTATACAACAACTTACACTGAGCAACGCTGTGAATGGTACTACAGCTGGAAAAGCGTAACATATAAATGTTTAATATAAATCTCGGCTGATGTTAGCCAGCGAGCTAACATGCTAAAGTGGCTAAATGTTGGAAAGCGCTTCACACATAATGCAAAACAAACTCACCTCATGTTTTCAACATCTCTGCCCCCGCTCTTCAGGATACACAAGGGAATGGCGAACAGCGCCAGAAGCATCATCCAGGCCACGTAAAAGCACTTTTTGAAATAAAACACAAACGTGCTGCTGGTCCACATCAGCAGCGGGACCAGCAGCAGCGGTGCCATCCACAGCACATCCATAGCGTTCCGCTGCTGAAGCTGACCACTGACAGGCGTAACACACGCTGGGGTTTAGGGCTGGACGGACACGTCGCTACCACACTGGCTGGTTACGGTGCAAGAGAAACGGTGCACCAAGACCCTAACGGACATCACCCGTTGAAAGTCGTCCCCTTAACACACTCTCAATGCGATAAGGGTCGACTTGCAGCCCGAGATGTTCACCTATGCAGCTCATCTGTTGCTAAATGGCATCATGAGGAGGAGTCCCGCGTCATCAGGGGGATTTTTTTTCTGTTTCCGGTTATTGGACTTGCCTGTTAAAGCAGGCAGACGTGCTTTTACAGTGCATTGCACTGCATTCGTATTGACACGGTGTAACCAGCACCAGTTGGTCTACGTGTCTGTCATCTGCGCTGCCTTCCTTTTGGTGAAATTGACAGTTGAATTTGGTCTTTAACAGTTGTTGTCATTCAAGATGCATCCGCATGGAAATAGTTGACAGCATTTCCTCTTCTCTGTAGTAGTAGGTTCATCGGAACCCAATATTTATCTCAGAAGGCAGGCCCCAGTGTTCTGCCATGGCTCAACTGCTGCAACAGTCAGTGTCTATTGTTTTGGAATGACAACCTGTGTGGGCACCGTTTCTCTTCAAAGGATAAGAGGCAATTTCTAGTCCAATGTTCAACATTATATATTTATTCTTATTTAGTGTCACAAAAGAAAGACACACATATTTCTGTTTAAATCCCTACATCTGACTCTAGACAGATATAATGGGCTGGGATACGAAGAAGGTAAATGCAGGAAAATACAGAAAATGCAACTACAAATATACTCTAACTTTTATGTTGCATTTTAACCTCTCCTTTGAATAATACATTGCTTTTCCAAAATTTAATACTGCAGAATAAAAAAAAGTAGTGTGGAGTTACACAAAAGCTAATTATCATTTTCCTCTGACTGTTTTTTAAATTATTTTTATATTTTATATTTTAAGTTTATGTTTTCTTTTATACTTAGACACTGATTCTTAAATCAATCAGTGCATATTCACTCTCTACAAAGAGGTATTCTGACCAGATTTGCAGCAGGTTTGTGTATAATTGGATTAGCTGTGGTAATCCGATCACTGGCTGTAATCTGACACTGCCCAGTGGTCTTTACCATATCACAGCCATGCTGAGGAGCTCTTGCTTGGCATGAGTTGAAAGATTAGGCTAAACTGGTCATAAAGCCTACTTCAATATGTGTGAGTACCCTAATCATTGGAAACTAACCCTGTCTGCTGACAGGAAATCTAATTTGCACTTTTGACATTGTACATCAGCAAGGGGTCATTTGTTCAGTGTGTGTTAGCAACGAGGTAGCAGGCATTATCAGGTTTACAAATACTGATTATTGACTTTTCATAATCTAAGGTTGTGTTGCCTCAGATGAAAGAAACAGAGATGTGTCGATTTGAGTCCCAGGATTTCAGTTATCTCAGTACATGCACACATAGTGTTAATATATAAATGAACTCTTAACTGGTCCTTGTGCACCCTCTATAGGTGAAACCTATAATGTAATTAATTTATAGTTCATTTAGCTGTACATACAATCACTGGTTATTGAATAGTATGACAAAAGGCATTTGATTTATAAAATTATAGCATACAGTTAATGTGTTCTGTACATTGTGTTATTAAGTACAATCATTTTTTACTTTTGAACAGGTACTTTGAGTCATAATACCACAGATGTTGCATACTACTTCCACTTCTTTAATTTATATTTTAATAATATAATTTAATAATTTTAATTTATTTTTTCATTAATAGCTATTATGATATTTTGGGACATTTTAAAACTTACTACTTACTACAAATTATCTAATTAGACTAATTTAACTTTTTTAACTTAACAATTCTGGGTACGTTAAGGTCTTTATGGAATTTTAAGCTTATTACTACCACTGCATATACTGTAACAAACAAATATCTTGTACATATCTCATCTACTGCCCTAGCATTAAACATACAAATACCTTTTAATGGCTTACCCTACTTGAAAAAATAACAAAAGCAATACTTGTAACTAAAATGCTATGACATTTGGCATAGCGAGCCCTTCCGTATGAATCATAGCGCTAAAGCTAAGACCCAGCTGTGCAGAGGTTTTCCTGCAAGAACAAAAAGCAACCACTAGATGGTAGTGTTGTACTAACTCGCGATAATGATCAGCCACCGTATTTCATCATAAAACATGCTGACCGTGATAATTAAAAGCAGCTCGGGTGAATATTTTAACTCTGGGTGACGTGTAGAGAAACGTAAACACAGTCATTTATAATGTAATTATGAACACACATGAAGTCAATGCAGAGGATCCTGTGAATTGTCAAGGAGGAAAAGCGAAGAATTATGTACCTGTTCCTTCACCCCAAAAAACATTGGCTGATTCATATGTAGTTGTTAAAGATTCGCAGCCGAGATCAGATCACAGCTCGTATCCTGTTAAACTTATCTGCTGTCACTGCCCACCAGCTGATTTGTACAGGTTTTTATCATTTGACTTTGCTCCTTCCAAAGTAACATCCTCTGTTGGGTATATTGAGTATGTAAGTCATGTTGCTTCCTCACTCTCATTTAAAATGTATTTAAGTTTAAAGCTATACTTTAAAACACGTGTGATATTATTTTTGCTATGAAACTTTTATCATGACAAGTTTTTTTTTACTGATGAGTTTAAGTGTAAACTCCCATGGAAGAAGTGCCTTGTACTTATATTCATCATTTTATAATATTCACATGGAGCTTGACTTCTCTCAGGAGGTAGTCCTATGGGGTTACAATGTTCTTACAAAGTTGTTACATAACATTTTTGTATTATTGAGTACTAAAGACAACCACATATTCCTCTCTGTGTTAAAAAAAAATGTCATCCACATCATAGAACAGCTGTAAACACACACTTTTATAATAATAATAATAATAATAACAATAACAAAATACTTAGCTTCCAAGAAGTGAACTCCAATTAAAAGCCATTAAATATAGGTGTATCATGTGCAAGGTCAGGCCAGTATCAATAGTGTGTCCATAAAGTGGCATTAGATTTATCTAAGTGAAGGCAGGGCTGTTAAAGCCTTGGATGACCCTGCTATGAACCAGGGAAAGTAGAGTAATGTGATCAAGATGTATCCAGTATAGACAACTGCATAAAGAGCCAGTAGATAAAGCAAAAATGTATTATGATAACAGACCTGATCTGCCTAACATTTTCAAACATGCTTTAATATCCTTTCCTTACAGTTAGAAGGTCATTGGTTCAATGCCTGGAGGAACAAGATGGTGTCTCTGTATGGAATCGGCTCTATACCGGTTTTCTCTGTTTCTCTATGTAAACATTGTTATGAAAATGAGTGACAATGGTTGTTTGTCTTTGGCCCACACTATTATGAATGTTCTATGAATGTTCTCTTGTTGTTTTTCTTCTTCCCCTCCTCACTGTCCAGTACATAGACTACAGCTTAGGTTACTTATTCACTATAAACTGACCTGTAGTTCGTTTCTGTATGTGGCACAGTGATTGACTAGCAAACTTTCCTGGGTGTACCTAGCCCTTGCCCGGTGACTTAGCTAAAAATGCTGTGCAACGTAGAAAAAGAAGAAAAAATGGAATCAGTAGACAGGCAGGAAAACAGTGAAGGGAAAAGTTGCAAACATAAACGGAATGGAGAAAGTGGGATTGCTTATTGATGAGGTTGGAGTCACACTCCCTCTGGGGCTGTTCAATGAAACATCTGCCATGGGTGGTGACCTTTGTAAACCACCCGCTGCCCTGTGTTCCTGCTGCCATGGAGCAGCACCGGCATTGTGAGTGATCAGAGATATCTGGGGAAAGGGTTGAGTAGAGTTGAATAGGAAACCTTTCTCCAAACATACTCTATCAGAGCTTTTTTTGATTTCCTAACTGTGAACGCGCATCAGCAGCTGTCACAGTGGAGGCGGGTGCCCGCGCACAGCAGATCCAAGCAGAGCTCTCTCTCTCTCTCTCTCTGCCTCTCTGTTTTACTCTCTCTCACTCACCAGCGTGAAGATTATGCTGCAGCTCCTAGCCATCTTGTGTCACGCAGGATGAGACTCTGAAGAGAAATAAGCTCGGTCTCAGAAGCGTTTTTTCCCTCTTTATTAACAGGACCACCAACAGGAAAACGACACCGCAGAGGCACCGAAATCACATCAGGGTGCTCCGAAAACACATCACTGGAGTCGTGGATTATTCCGGAGACAACGTTCTGGAACCATGAGCTGGGGGTCAGAGCTATGGGTGAGTCTGGGTGCACTTGTACCCGCTTCACCACGCTGCGTGTTCTCTCAGAAACCACGAATACGCGCGTGAAGTGACTAACGCGGCGTTTTCTCCGGTTGCCGCTTAAAACGACGTTAATTCGTGCGGTGCTTTGTGGCCGTTAGCCAGCGGGGGGCTAATTTGTAGCGGTTATCACCAGAGCCTATCTCTCTAACTGCTGTTTGTCTTTTTAACGGTTAAATTTCAGTTGTTTGAACTGCTGGCAGCGGGGTTTCCATTTGCGGGGTTCAGAAATACACATATTTCGCTTTACATTCGTTTTGGTACGAATTTAAAGCAAGCTTCGGACAAAAACACAGAAACACATACACACCCCCTTCATGTATTACCAACGGTAGCTGCTCCTGCTCTGGTGCAATGTTGTTGAGGCAGTGTCACGTCTGCTCTGACACTTTGTCTGTTGTTATCATTTAACAAATGTGTAACAAGCTCTGACAGAGGGAGGTAAACGTCTCTCATTTATTTGTCGATGACCACACACTGTACATTATTGATTTACGCGTACACAAAGCTGGTTTTTAATTACATTCTTCTCCTTGATATACAGTACTGTCAGTGTAGTCCTGTGACTTGTGTGATCCGGTGTGCAGAGAGTTTTCATTCAAAGATGGGGGTTGGTGCACTTGTGACCGTTGAAAGTGTTAAACCCTTTGTATAGAACACTCAAGTCAACAAACATTGAAATATTTTACTATGATGTTCAACTCCTATCGGCATCTGATTTTAAACTGGATGATGAGAACATTTTCTGTCTGTCCGCTAGATTATCTCACCTTTTGTTGTGACAGAATATTTACAGATAAAACCATATTAGCCTAACATATAGCATTTTGCAAAAAACGCTATGTTTTCTTAAAAATGTGAATTTCCAGATTCAGGATTTTATTAAAACATTGCTCTCTTTTTTGGCCCTCAACAATAGAGTATGTTTGTTTGCAGGTTGTCTGTGTAGGTTCTCAGTCACCCATCCAGTTGCCCTCAATGTAACAATTTTTGGTTTGTTTGCAGAGATTATATTGTTGTATTACACCAATAAAGTGTTTCCCAATGCTCTGTTAGCTGCATATTTAGATAAGATATTTGAAAAATAGAATCAAACACGTTTATACAGACTCATAAGTGACTAATATATATGGAGTGACAGGCCAAAATAAATCTGAACACTGTCTTTAATTGGCATTCTTGAAACATGAAACGCAGGATTAAAAGCAAGGTTTTTAATACAGGATTCATGACACAGCAAATTGTTCAGCAGCTCAAAAAACCTTGACATCATACTTGGGATGGATTGTAATTCTACAAGAGGCTTTGAAGACCAACGTTGTGGGCTACCACAATTAGTCCAAATATGTCCATATGGTCTAGATGAATAATAGTTATTGTTATGCATTGTTTGAAGTATACCTGGGTTACTTTATGAGGACGTTCTGTTTCTGTTATTAGCCATATTTACATCAAATTTTACACAATGGTAGTTGGACAAGTCTCTGTCACATTTAATTTTATAGGCAAGGATGAAATAAATGGTGAAACTATTTATTATTTATCACTGCATGCACTGTATATTTGACAATTGAATGCATATCCCTTATCACTGCATTACGGTTGCCATTTTAATTGAATCATCTATAAATAGCACAGAGCTATTTCATGTACAACTAACTACTAAACTAAACCATTTTTACTCTACTTTTAATCAAAGATATCAGATATCCATCTATTGTTGTTGTTAAAAATTATTGTATGCAAGTGGTTTTATGATGCAGTTACAACGATGAAACAATTTAATTTGGCTTTTGAATGTTTCATAAGTCACATGACACCAATGCCAACACTAGAAAACAAAACCTGAGTCCTGGATTCTGACTGCTAAAAATGTAGTACAGATTTATTTTTTACTACGGCAGGATAAATTACATTCTGTTTATAAATAATTCAGAACCTCCAAATCTGGAATTTACTTGCATCACCAGTTTAGTAAAGTGATTACATTTTAATATTGGATCTAGTTTAACAGACAGACAGAATTTCTCCTTTGCAACTCTAGACAACAAACCCGCACCATGACCTTGCTGCCATAAATTCCAGTGCTATGATGTCACTACATTTGAACCCCCACCTCACGCTCCCCTTCCTCAGATCAGGTTAAATTTACAGTACATGGGTGTGTGGTATCCCTTACAGAGGCTGTATACTGTACAGTTCCTATTTCCAACAGAGTTACACATTTTATGCTCCTAAACACATGTTAGGTGATAAAGATTGCAAGACCATGTCAAACTATTTTTACAACTTGATAATTAGCACCTATGGCAATAGGAATCCTTGCTGTCAGGGTTTTGTTGCAGTGACTCGTGTTGTTATTTTGTTGTGGAATTGATGGCCTGAAAACGTTTTCCGTCAGCTGCCTGTGCGCAGTGGTGGACCAAACGTTTTCCGTCAGCTGCCTGTGCGCTGAAAGCCAGTGGTGGACACTGGCACCTGAGGTGCTGGTTTATTGTCGCTGGATTCACAGCAAATTCAAAATAAATGACAAGGACATAGACATGTTTGTGTGTGAATTACACCACATGGAGTTGCCATTTGGTAATTTTTATGCACATAGTATACTGTACATTTCTTGGGCTTTCAAAATGAATGTCAAGATGACATCTTCACACAGTTTAGTATAGAATAAAGTGCTCTGAATATCACATTTCTTGGGCTTTCAAAATGAATGTACTACTTCCATTTATTCGTGAAAGTAATTACGTAGATGACATCTTCACACAGTTTATTATAGAATAAAGTGCTCTGAATATTCAATAATTATGTTGCCTATTCACATATCATTGCTGTGATACACATTGATACATGCAAGAAAAAGTTTTAGTTTCAACATAGTCTAAACATAACAATGGAGCGTAAAATGACATTCAAGAGCTCAGCATGAGTTTGTGGAGGCTTAACTTTAAGTCAGATGCCCAGCCTCACTGAGCACAAGGCCAGTAAGTAAGTCTACAGTTGACAAGATGACTGACACAATTACCAAATGGATTTTGAGTGTAGACTGATTAATATTGTTGAGGATTACAACCGTAGTTTTTTTTTTTGGAATGTCAAAATCTGTCTACAAATGTCGTTCATGATGCAGAGCAATGAATAAAAAGTCCATTAACTATATGAGCCTAAACATTGAGTCATATTTTTTCATATTTTTCCTGACAAATGAATGTCAATCGTTAAATAAAAACAGACTGTTATATATTTTTCAGTTTTTTTTGGTCACATTTAGGAAAGTTGATTTACCTTGATTAATCACGATTTATTGTGATTAATCTACAGCTAACCTCTGATTAGTCAGATTAAACATTTTAACTTTCGGATTAAAATAATTTTTGTTGTATTATTCACCAATCCATGGCTGTAAAAATATTGTTGTACTTGTAGGCAGTAAAGTGGTTGTGGACCTCTGCTCTACAAGACAAGCAGGAACATGTTTTATTTACTCAAACTTGTCTTGCAAAGTTTAAATAGCACCGTATGTATACAGCCACAAGCAGCTGTTTTTTCCCCCAGTGTTTGCTATACTGAATGTGGCGTAACACCTCAGCTCTACATACAGTGTTAACCACTTTCTCTGATAGTGCTGTAGTCAAAAGTTAATATAATAATATAATATAATATAATAAGATATGTTTCCCCACCCAGCAGCAGATCAGCCTGGAGATAGTTGATCTTAGGAATTGTTTTTCTTCCTAAGTAAAAAAGGAGGTGGAGGCTCTCCCTTGGATTCTTCAGTAATGTACCTGTTCCAGAGTTCACGGACCGAACCCTACATTCTTTGAATTTCCCCAGCGTTGTCAGTGAAGGTCTACTTTCCTACTGCACTGCTCTACTGAGAAACACTTAGGCTCAGCTAGTCATACAAAGCAAACATAACCTGGAGGTATTTTACTGACTTTCATCTGCACAAGAAGCCTGGAATTTTTTTTGAACAGAGCCTTAGCTTATTCACTAAAAATGTATTACAGGGACCTGCTGTTTTTACAGCGTGAGTCAAATCCAGGTATTTGTTTCTTCAATCATAGTCTCTTGTATATGTAGCCGTGACTCTTAACTAGTTATCTGCGGGTGGTTGTTGCTACAGGAAATGACACACAGCTTTAAATCTTGCTAGCACAAATGACATCATAGAAAATATCTGCCTTGGATATTTATAAGGTTGCTTGTGAGATTGAGTGGTCTATTATATACTAAAAAGTTTGTGCAGGCAAATGTAAACCTGTACTTTGACACAGCAGAAGTGAAAAACAGCACACAACAGAAAGAGGTACCATGGAAACAACTTACACTTTCATATCGCTTGCCTGAGTTCTTCTTTCAAATTAATCAGAATGTGAATTGAAGGCATGTAGCAGGACTTATGTCACTATTGATCAGAACCAGAGTGGATAAAAACAGTTTCCAAAGATAATGCCAGTTTTAAGATACTGATTCAGTGAGCCAAATACTCTGCAACGGCTTTAGTAAGTGTCTCATTCTTCTTAAAGTACATTTGTTTAAGTAGGGCAACAATCAGTAGTTTTGAAGCATTTTAACTTCTGGCGCAAAGCCAGAGTTAAGCTAGTTGATAAAGCACTGAATAAGCCACATTCCTAATGCTGAACACGCAATAAACATGACTGTATATTTGATAGAGTCACTTTTTTGTTTTACAAAGTTGTACAACATTGTGTTTGTTAATTTGTGTAGTTGTTTTAACTGGTAGCCTAAGTTGCAGTTCTATTTTTTTTACATCTAGTATCTATCTTAATTCAAATAATCAATATTTAAAATACGTTAATAATTATCCAGATTTCTTATTATATATCTATCTATTTAATCATAGTGTATGTGAGCACTTACTTAAGGTTAGTGTTCTGTATGTGGTGACACAAATCTACCATGCTCTTCCTGTTTTTTTTTTTTTCGAAACAGAAAAGTAAGTTGAGCGTAAACGCGACTGATCTGGTGAGTTAGTGATAACAGAAGACTGTTGTGTTTCAGCTGAAATAAACAAATCATAAGATCGAATGACCAAGTCATTACATGAAGCGGGGGAAAGAATGTGATCTGAGATGAAATTGTTGCACCTTCGTTGGAGCTTTGTGAGTCACCATGAGTAAATGCCCACATTTTGGTCAAATCAGCCGAGTGGACTCCAAGGCACTGAATGCTTTTGGTACAGCATCACTACACTGATTATGGGGTTTGTGATATTTCTTTTTTTGTTACCATGAAAGTTACGATCATCACAGCCAAAATATTTCGGAACCACTCCACAGCAACAACAACAACTCTTTGTTTGTATTTAGAGTTTGTTAGATTAGTTGAACATTTGTATTATTTTGTCCAAACAGTAGAGAAAGAATCAACAAAAAAAATTGAAATTGTAAGTGTTTTATGGTTGATCGCCAGGCGTTTGTCCAGTTTTCCTTTTTTACGATACATTTGACAGCATCGTATCATTGTAGGGAAGTTAATTTGAAAATGAACTGGCTCTGTGGTTTTACCTTTATGTGTATTCACTTTGACACACCTTGACAGTTTCACTTTGCTCATGTGAGGGATTTGGGAAGTGGCTATTTGGTATTGTTCCAGGCTGAGCTTCACTCTTTAGAAGAAGTGTGTCATTTTCTGTTGCACAATTTTTGATGAGGCATGATGGAAAAAGCAGAGACTCTTTTCAAAGAACAGCAGCTCAAGGTGAGTACATTGGTGGAAATGGCTCATGTTGCTGGTGTGTTTGTTTGACAGTGTGTTAATTCTTTTCAGTGTTAGATGAGGGACTGAGTTGGGGGAGACTGTGTTGCCACTAAGGACACAATATCTAGTTTCTCTTCTTAGTCAAACTCTGTTGCCCATCGACCCCAGTGTAATGGTGAAGGGAAAGTGTTCCTGTGCAGTCTGTTAAATGTCAATTGTTTACTCTTATGTCTGTAAGTGTCTCTCCGGGCTTTGCCAGAGGGGCACAGCCAGTAAGGTTCAGTCAAAATTCTTCTGTCTTCGTGTGAATTTCAGCGGTGCGTGTGCAACAGTGAGTCATCAATGATCTTCTGAGTTTGAGACATAACGGGTCTACACTGAGTTTACTTTTTCTGTGACGTGTGTCATTGTGACTCAGACTTCTCTAAGGTCACCCTCATTCTCTGCTGCTCACTTGACAATTGGACCACTTCGGGGCTGACACCTGAATCTTGTGGAGGGGCTGAGACATGAACTATCCTTTACTCACCCCCAACTCATACATGTGACTTAGTCACCTCTTTCTTTTAGTTTTGTGACAGAAGTAGAGAAGAAAAGGTCCACTTTAAATCATAAGGGCCCACACTGCACCCTAGTGAGTAATGACTAGGAACAAAGGGGCTGAGAGGTGGGGGTAGGCAGGTTATTTAAATAGGTTTTTATACAGTATGTAGATGGAGTAGGCAAGTTGGACTGTTAATCAAAAAAAATATAAGAACCTAATGAATTGTAATAGTTGCTCCAGCTATTACGAGGTTTGCATGATAATCAGATTGATTAATTAGAATTAAAATGTACCTATTAGGCACAACTTGAGTTATAGTTTTGCATATGTTTTGTGACTGTTCTTCCAGACTAAAAACGAAATAATTTCATTTCAGTTAAACAATTGTAGTTCCTCTTCACTTCCCCTTAACCTACAGGCAAGACCTTTTCCAATAAAAAAAGAATGACTAGCTACTTCCCACCACAAACTGCCTCTGTCCTTAATTTTACTGTTAACTGCTCTTTCATCTCTGATGTCAGTTTGTATCACTGATTGGCTGCTGTCTCACTTAAAAAAGCCATTCATGCTCTCTGGCTCACTGCACTATTGCGTTAGCTAGTGTAAATGTCACATGCTTTGTCTTGGTTCATTTCATTGATCAAAGTTGTTCAGGAACAATAGAGTGTAGATGAACACATGACTGCCATGTTGGCTGTTAAAATCATTTTAAAACATTTTTACAGTATCTTCGAAACTGATACTACTCAAGGTATTTTATATTCTGTACCAAACTGTGTTGCTATAAATAGTAAGTGTAGTGTATTTTAGAGAAAAACAAGGACATAGAAAATTCTTATCTCCACATAAGAATATATATATATGTACATATATGTGTAACAAATAATGATGTTAACCTATAAGTATATATATATATATAACAAGATAGTCTGCTATTTCTACCATATAAAGTGTGGTTTATACACTGTTGAACAGGTTTATGTATTGTATAAGGATATGTGATTTATTATCTAACGGCTGTTTCATGGAGCCACAATAAAAATCTAATATCCACTCCTGAACATGCTGCACACACATTTATCACTCATCACTCTGCACTCTTTAATGCCAAAGTTGCATTTATTCTGTTCCCTTTTCCACTCTTCACATTTCCTCTGTCCACATTTTGCATTCATAGTATTCAGTCACTTTGTCCTGACTGGTGAAACAAGATATTTGAATGTATTTTAGGTAAAAATGGTCTTCATATGCATGACAAGGATTTTAACTTTGTATCTTGACAGTACAAAGGGACAGTTCGTGTGCAAAATTCCAAAAAGGAAGGGTGGAGGGTGATTGGGAAATAATTCAACTTTTATAAGGAATTGGTCTTGGCAGAGCGTAGCACTTGAAATCATGCAAACCCTCCAGTACACTAACAATATATAGAATATAATATCGCTGTGGACGGGGTTTGTGAAGACTACATATAGGATATACAGATTCTGGAAACCTTGTGGATATTGAAGTAAATATTCATTCCAACAAGGCCTGGCTCCATATAAATTTGATTAATATTCTGCCAAAACATTAAATGTTATTAATCTTTTTACAGTTTCTGTTGTCAGTTTTCAAAACACTTGAGAATCACCTCACCTTTTATACTTGTATACTATACTAGATTTATACTAGAAAACGTCAAACTAATATGGATATTTCAGCATACACATTTTGTTATTTTCAATATTTCTCAGCCCAATAACAAAGTGTTATTGGGGTGACTAATATCATGAAATCCTAGATAAATCAGTACACACCTGTCATCAAACAAGGAAAGTATAATTAACCTGAAAGAAGTTAAGATATAGTAGAAGAATTGTTTTAAACCACTTCCCAAGTTGCTTTTTATGACAAAGGCAATGGTTGACAACACCCTAAACACCTTAGAAAAGAATGACCAAAATCAAACTATTTTGAAGTCAATGACCAAATTATTGGTTGCCGGACCAATGAGTTGGTTGGTATTTTTCAGAGAAGCAGCTAGCTAAATGACTAATGACTAACAGACTACTGCATCATTTAATAATCACCCCTCGTTTGGTGAAACAAGGATTGACAGCACATACTCAGAAACGTAATGTACTGAATAATAGATATAAAATGTACAGCGACTATAATTGATAGATAAATCTATCACCATGCAAACAAACAGTAGCACAAAAACAACAAATGTTCTGAGTTCTGTTGTGCTATGACTTCATTTTCAATGGTAAGAATTATAGACATTAGTCATTTTAGCATAGTCATTTTAAACCCTGTTATTAGACTGGAGCTGTATTTAGTAAAAAAAAGTCAGAACTGTGAGGATCCATGGAAGGAAACAGGCAAATTCTCAGACAACCTATTTATGTACTTTAAGCGTTAGCAAAACATACTTAACATCATTTCTCATTTACATCTATCATGTGTGCCAACACTGTTAATTGTAACTATGGCTGTGTGAATATGTTCTATCCAAATTCCACAAGATCAATGTCAGTCGCAATATATGTTTTTTCAGACGAGAACAGTAATTATGAAGGTGTCATTTTGACCCACACCAAAGAAACATGTACTTTTCGGGTTTTTCGCTGGGAAATGTGTCCTTGAGTCTCAATAAGGCAGTGCATTGCAGGAGAGCCTACGCAGTCTCAATAAGGCAGTGCATTGCATGAGAGCCTACGCATATGTGTCACTGACGCCTCGATACTTTACACTAAAGGCACAGCTGAGTTGTGGGATCTTTTACAGTAACACTGTAGTAACTGGTAACCCCACAATATTTTTCAAGTGTAAGCCAAGCATTAGCTTTTTAATAGTTTTTTAAATTGACACCTATATGAAATATTGATAGTACAGGTCCATCAACCAACATTGATAAGTATACATATTTACTTTTATCTACGATGGAAACAGTAATAGAAAAAGGTTCAGATGCATTCAGAACAGTATGAAATATTTGCTGTTATTACTGTCCTTCTATTTTTAACTGCTTCTTTAACCCTTTACTAGTCTTAGAGCTCACACACAGATTATCACAGTTCTAAATTATTTCCTTTGCTTTCACCTCATAAACTATATCACACAATAGTAAAAATGTTGCAAGTATGTCAAAGTTGGCAAGGTCATTTCTTTTGGAGAAAAAGTGTTGTATAAAAATCACAGATCTTTATCCTCCACAAAGAACAAAAACAGCTCAACAATGGCTGCTGTGTCTTTGTTGGCTTAGCAGGATTAACCACAGAGCACCCTATTGGGTGGCTAAGGTAGAGCTAACGGAGGTGTACTAATCAGATTAACGACAGCCTTCTGTGCTGGTGAAAACGTTTATTCTCTTCAGTATACACCTAACGGACTTGTTGGCTTCTCTGCCCATTGGTAAAGCATTGGTCAACTGCTGGCACTTATCTAGTTGACCAAGGACTTTGAACCATATTTCCAGAAATGGATTAAACTTGTTCAAGTTTGTTTTTGTCTTCGATTGAACTGCACGACCATGTTGCGTAGAAAAAGTGAATTTTGGGATTTCCTGTACAGCATTTGTTCTTTGGTATCAGAAAAGGAAGGGTTAAATAAAGAGGGACAGTTGAGCCCCTATGAAGAGTATCTACAGTTGCTACTGCAGATGAAAATGGCAAGTGATGTAAGTGAATGGAGGGACACTCCAAATCCTCTTGGTTTTGTTTTGTTCTTTCTGTTTAAACATACTGTAAACAACATTTTAATGACTGATATTTCAATGGCTGCTCTGCTGTAGCTAACAGAGGTGCTTGTCACAGGATATTTAAACTCTGATTGGACCAGAAGAAGTACCATTTTCTGATTTTACACAACAGATATTTTAACAAGTCAGTCTGATATTTACCCCTATTTTAACACCTAAAAAGCCTAAAAAATGCGAGAACTACTCATACATAACACATGATCATTAATAGCACAATTATATCAAAAAGAGTTTCCTGTTCTGATACAATTACTGATACTAACACTTTAATTTGTCTGTCCACATAGACGAGTTCTGTCTCATTTAGTGAAATATTGACCAATCTTCCAGTCAAAGTGACTCAAAAAAATGCAGCAATCATCTGTTGCTCAAGTACCACAAAACAGTTTGTACTGGTGACTCTCACTTGGCCGCCTCACAAATCTTTCAGTGACACAGACATGGCCAGAAGTATCAAATAGCAACTGGCTGCATGTAGAGGTGGGCAGTGAGGAGAAACTTTGTTCCATGACATGAGCATGATACACGGGTGTATACACCAACACATAATCTTAAATTTCAGGGAGCAGAGGCGTTGTTTCTATTAATATCTATTTGGCATGCAAACAAGAGCTCCTACACCTAAGGTCACTCACTGGCCTGCACAGCTGTTAATATTCTGCAAGAGCACTTCTCTGTCCTTACATGTGGACGTGTATATGCTAGTTTTTTTTT